AGATTCCTTTTGCTACGGATGTAAATCAGTCCTCGCAGGTAAACTGTACGCGATTAATATTTTTATGCGCGTAAAGGATGATCGTTGTCATTTGCGTAGTCCACCTGATGGTAAGTGGATGATGTTGCCCACAGATACCTTCATCCTTCAAAAATCAAAACTTAATTGCGTGATCGCCCGTGAGGACCCAAATGCCATTACATACAGGAGGACTTTAGTTCTTACACGAAACAGCAGCTTTACGCTGCAATTTTATGTTGGTATTATGAGCGAGCGTGGTACATCCACATTTGCTGTTGTACCAAAGTGCTGCAGCCAATATAAGCTGCGTGGCTTTACCACGAAAAAAAAAAACGATTTCACCTATACTAGATTAAAATCAAATCTTATACAAAAACACAGATGTGTTGTGACAGGTTTTTCTGTCGAGATGTTCTCTAAAGCAGCCCGGAGCCAAGAAGATACATCACCTCGGAAAAGCACTTGAAGCCGTTGGTCCAGCGCAGGATCTTTATCTTAGTCTAGCACAGGACTAAGGTGAAATGATTCCAAAATCCATCTCAGCGGAGACTAGACCGAGGAATAGACAGGATTATAGTGAACGAATGAAATGTCTGCACAAACATAGGAGCACTCTCTATTCCTTCATTCTCATAGTCTGATGGGACGTTAATCCGACGCGACCGGAGAGAGATCAGGCGGGCCATTTCGGGGCTACATCGTATTCTCGCCTATGAATCAAATCAAATATCAAATCAAATAACTTATTCAGTATCAGAGTTTTTACATAGCAGTGTTGTGAATGAGGACTTCTTTTAAGTAAATAAATACTTGTGTTAGAAATCCCCCCTCTCCGTAACATTGATTAACGAATACTAATGTGATACCTACTTACTTCAATACTTAATCTAAAAACATATTTTTAATTTAGATACAGATTATATGATCACTAGGCCAACGCGGCAGTATTATACTCACCACTATATTAGGGGTTCGAATCCTATAACTCTAAAAAATGTGGTAAGTGAAACTACAATCTATCTATACATATAATAAATCTGTAGGAAAATTATTTGTTCACGATTCGCGCAAAAAACTACTAGAAGAATTTCCATGAAAATTGGTGTGTAGATAGTAAATGATGGCATATAACATACAGGCAACTTTTATCTGCTTCCGGAAGAGTAAAATAAAAGGTTTATGTTTTTCTTTTTTTTTTCAAGTTTATGGTCGTAATGGTTGTGGTGGTTCTATTAGTCATAAAGAGGATTTAGCTATACGTATTACGTATTATAAGTCTATAGAAAATTGTGTGTGTAAATGAAACTCATCGCGTAACCAACCAGAAAAAACAGAATGACGTCTGCCGGTCTAGCCAATATTTTATAAAAGTATGACTTTTGGTGTTAGACTTTTAATAAAGGCCCAAAACAGTAAATAATATTTCTTTAGAAATAAAATGTTAATTTGAAACAAACTACATATGTACTTTTTCGTCGTCTACTCTATTTGATACCAGCAAACCGCTCCGGCTTCATCTATTAGTGTCATTTATGTCATCATTTAGATTTAACTAATTTTAAATTTCACAAAAATCTCTCAACTTTTTAAGATAAAATGTAGCCTAGACCACTTCTAGCTTTGGTTTCTATTCGTCAAGTTTCATCACAATCGATTACGAGGGCGACACTGAAAGTTTTTAGAACTGGCCACTGATAATCGATATAATAAAAAAATAAGTTCAAATTTTGAAAATGGAAGCCAATATTATTTGTGTATGTATTTTATTTATTTGTCATTTGCTTACGATTTGGCGGCAAATTGAAAATTGTGTGTGTCACGTCAGCATGAATTTAACGCGAGAAATTTTTTTATGACTTTCAATGTCATTTAAGTCACACAAGTTATGATAGAATCCGATTGGCCTTTCACGATGAAGCCCCATCTCGTGCCACTGTTTACAACTGGTTTAATGAGTTTAAACGTGGTCGCACTGATCTCACCGATGCTCTGCGTGAGGGACAGTTTTCTACACAAAAGAGTGACTTATCAGCAGATTCAAACAAGCTTAGGCATCGGTATGAGTCAAGTGCACTAAATCTTCCATGAACATTTAGCGGTCAGGAAGCTCTGTGCCGTAATAGGTGGATACCTCATAATTTGACAGAGGCCCAAAAACTCCGTTGTTTTGATTGGTGTCGTGAAATGGTCCAATGATTTAACGAATGTGACTCAAATGCTGTGTTCGACATACTTACGGGTGACGAAAGCTGGATTTGACGATGCTGCCTGGGTGTTTCCTTCCGAGGAGTTGCCAACTAAAGTGATGAGAGGTCGAAGCGTGGGTAAAAAGATGGTGGCCTCGTTCTTCGGAAAGACAGGTCATTACGCAACAATTGTTTAAGAGGATTGAAAAACAGTTACTGCAGAGTGGAACACTACCAATTGTTTGCCACCTGTCTTAGAAAAAGGTCGGGAGAAACGACCTCCTTCGAGGATCCTCCTTCACCACGACAACGCCTCGTCGCACACTGCCAAGCGACTATTTGGCGACGTCAGACGTAGAATTACTGGGTCACCCGCCCTATAGCTCCGACCTCGCACCTTGCAATTATTATTTTGTTCCGGAAATAAAAGAAAAACTTCGAGGAAAACGCTTTATGGACGCCGAGGGAGCAGTTGCTGTGTTTCAAAATGCCGTCGAAGAGACCCCTAATTACGATTGGGCAAAGTGCTTTTCTAAGTGGTTCCATCGGATGCAGCGATGTATTGATGTAAATAGACACTGTTTTGTTAAACTTGTTAATTTGTTCAGTTTTTGATTTTCTAAGGACTTTCAGTGTCACCTTTGTACCTACAAAATTTGCAACAAAGTTACAAAATCCCGTACAACAGACACGCAAAAATGTTTAAAAAGTTATTGTTTTTAAAGTTATTTTTGAAATTTTGTACAAAAAAGAATTAATATACCACGTTTTTTCATATATATTATATACATTGTCATCCGATTAATTCAATATTTCAAGTCTCCGGCTCATCGGGAAGTGCTCAAAATTTGAGTTGCAAGATTCCACCTGGAACTACTGACCGACAGACAGGCAAACAAGAAGGTGACCTAATAAAAAGAAAAAACGTGCAATTTTTTCATAGAATAAAAATGACAAACGAGCACACAGTCCACCTGATGGTATGTGGATGCTGTGACCCATAGACATCTACATTTATCCTCGATTAAGATTCAAAACGCAGATGCGTTGTCACCCTTGAGGACTAAGATAGAATGCCTCGTTTCCAGTAAAAAAGGGTCTCCAGATCTCTACACTCACCATACGGAATAAAGCAGTATTAAGCTGCTATTTTACGGTCATTCCCCGATCGAGACCACCCACCGACTACAACCATAACATAGCTTCAGCGTGGCTCTACTACGCTTAATAAAAGGCAGATACTTTAGTTTATATGAAAAGATTAAAAGTTGGCAACCCTAATTAGGAGTGATTGAACTCCGCTCCCTTTTACATAGCAAATTTTTTTGCAAGGCTCATTTTAAAATTATGTACTCGCTGAGTAACGGTGGCAAGAGGATCTACCACATATCATCCCGTAAGTTTCGTTAGAGGCGACAAAGCAAATCAGGAGATGGGCCTCTCAAGTGCTCTGAGGGAAGGAGAGGCGGCGAACGAAGAAAGAGAAAAAATTTAAAAAAAAAAATAGTAGCATCCCCGTGATAACAACTCGAAATGTTAAAAAACTTTAGTCGTCATACCGTCTGACAAGCCGACAGCACAAAGCTGTTGCGGAGGCGCACGCGTGCGTACACACAAAGACTCGCACGCACACACTCGTACGCATATGCATACACGCAAATCAGTATGTTATACTTCTAAATCTCCGATTCGAATGCATTGTAAGTATAGTCTGTTCACTAAAATAATGTCGGTGGTACACCCACTTATTATTTTGCTTTTATTTTATTATTTTTATTGTATTTGTTAAATAAATGTTTTCTAATCTAAGAATAAAATAGTATTCTATTTTATTAACAATATGTTTAACAATATGTTCAGCAGTGGGTACGCTTTATTTTTAATTTTGATAAGCTAATAACCGAATGTATGAATATTTCTAAGTTACTGTCTGGCTAAGACTTGGTTAGACAGCAGTTTCTACGTCTTTGTGCGTGTGGTTATGATGACTCATATAATAACAGCAAAAAAACTTCTTAAAACATAAATGTCATATAAAAGCTATCCAAGCTGCTCAAAGCATAATTCTCGCCTCACTAACAGTTCCAGTCTTTGACTCCTCTGTCGGAAACGCTTTCGGACTGATTTCTTTGTGCGTAGTGTTTGTTTGTTGCGGAAATAACGGCAGGTCTTGCTTCTGCTTTTCTTCTGAAGTTTTCATTTCGTTTTTTTTTTAATTTAATATGAAGTGGCAAACGAACTAACAGTTTAAACGACGGTAAGTAACTACCGCAGCAACTTAAAGCAACTACCACAACGACTAGGATGGAAAACGGCAGTCTACCGAGATTTAAAAAGAAAACGAAGTTCAACAAACGATATTTTTAATTACTTTCGTCGAATCATAAAGAATTTTCGAAAGAAACGTGCCAGACGTTTCTTTAAAACTAGCTAATCCAAGATTAGTAATGTTTAAAGTTAAATAAGCCACCATATCACCAACGATAAATTAGTAATGTTTACTCGATCCTATTAGGATCTGATAGAAATCCACGAGTACCACCATGAGAACTAATGTGAAGTTATGTTTACTCTATCCACGAATAACACTCAGAAAAATCGATAAACATACTTTGGAGATATCGTGTTACTTAAATTAAAAAAAAAAGAGACCAGTAGAAAACCTCCTCCTATTTTAACATAATATGATGTCCGCCGTCTCAAACTAGACCAGCATAGCGATCTCTGTTAAAAAAAACTGAGTAGAGATTGTAAATTGTCATAGACTAAAACTACTAGCTAATAGGGACTTACCCAAAAACACCAACAGCGACTGCGGCCTCTCTCAACGCTCTCTCCTGGTCCATGTCTCGAAGCGTCTCCGGTCGTATAGTAGCTGTGTTGCGAGGCTGCCTCTCATTTTGTACCGCTGTTGAAACAGTGAACACGTGTGATTCGTTGTATGAATAAATCTGCATTTTGATACTTAATTGAAGATATATATGTAGATGTCTATAGGTCGTAGCATCCACTTAATAACGAACTGGACTGTGTGCTCGTTGGTAACAAAAACAGAAACTTTTTTTATTCAATGTAGATTATAAAATAATATTTATTGAAAGTCACTTTTTTGTATTTACCGCCTGTTCGGAAAAAAACCCCTGCCCTGGGAAGAACCAGCAAGAAACCCAACGAGACTATTTTTTTTTAATACAGCTTACAATTATGTATGTTAGAATAAACAACACAAATAAATTAGGAATAGGTTATTATCATCCATAAATTCCTTAATATTATAATAACCCTTTTGCCGACGATATAGTCCTTATGGCAGAATCGCTGGAGGACCTTAGCACTATGCTCAATGACCTCAATGGTGTCTCCCAACGGATAGGTCTTAAGATGAACATGGACAAAACAAAGATCATGTTTAATGTCCATGTCACACCTTTGCCGGTAATTGTTGGGAGCACTATGCTCGAAGTTGTTGACGAGTACGTTTACCTGGGACAAATAGTCCGACTAGGTAAGTCTAACTTCGACCGAGAGGTCAATCAACGGATTCAACTCGGCTGGGCAGCGTTCGGGAAATTACGACACATCTTCTCATCAGATATACCTCAATCTCTGAAAACTAAAGTGTACAACCAGTGCGTGTTGCCAGTGATGACTTACGGATCTGAGACGTGGTCCTTCACTTCTAGCCGTATGAGGACGCTCGAGGTCTTTCAGCGAGTTATGCAGAGGGCTATGCTCGGAGTTTATCTGCGTGATAGACTCAGAAATGAGGATATCCACAGTGAAACCAGAGTGACCCACATAGCCCAACGGATTAGTAAGCTAAAGTGGCAATGGGCCGGCCATATAGCTCGAAGAACCGATAACCGATGGGGAAGAAAGGTTCTCGAGTGGCAGCCTCGTACCGGTAGGCGTAGTGTAGGGCGACCCCCCACTAGATGGAGTGACGACCTGGTAAGACATGCAGGAAGTCGATGGATGCAGGTGGCTCAGGATCGTGCTTTGTGGCATTACTTGGGGGAGGCCTATGTTCAGCAGTGGACTTGTGAAGGGCTGTAATGATGAATGATGATTATAATGAACCCTTTTTATATAAACTTAGTATAACAAAGATTTTTAACTTTGTGCAGGTCAAATTTTGTATATTTTTTGGGATTTTGTTGTAAAAGCGTATACATCGCCCCAAGAATAAATTATATTAGTAATACTGACTATACTAATAAAAACTCCACTGGTACTACTACGAGGGCGGCACTGAAAATTTCGGGATTCAAGGAAGTGACACAACATTACTATTTAAAAATGTATTTATTGATTTTCGAAGTATTCTCCGCGAAATTTGACACATTTTACCATACGATGGAACCAATCATTGAAGCAACCATTCCATTCGGAAGTTGGGGTCTCCAAAATGGCCGTTTTGTAGGCGTCCACAGCTTCTTCAGGTGATGAAAATCTCTGTCCACGGAATTTATTCTTTATTTTAGGGAAAGTATAGAAATCATTAGGGCTTAGGTCGGGGCTGTACGGCGGATGGACTAATAATTCTATGTTTTCTTGCTCTAAAAACTCTTTTGTTCTGTGTGCGGTGTGAGAACTCGCATTGTCGTGATGGAGGATGATGCGGCAGTTGCAGTTCTCTTTACGGAGTTCAGAAACGACCTGTGGCAAACAAATGCTAGCATACCATTCTGCATTAACCTTTCTTTGTCTCTCAAGAGGAATAGTCGTAACATGGCCGGTTTTGGAGACAAACGTGGCCACCATTTTTTTTGCAACACTCCGTGAACGAACAATTTTTGTTGGCTTTAACTCATTTCCGAACACCCAAACTCGTGAGTGGTTTTTTGTTTTGGGTTCGTACGTATACCCAGGATTCGTCACCTGATACGATGTTGTTTACAGCATTTGAGGATCCTGCGTGGAATCTTTCGAGAGTTCTGACGCACCAAGTAACGCGAGCCGCTTTTTGCTCTACACAGAGCGAATGCGGTATCCATCGGGAAAACAACTTTTTTACACCTAATTGTTCATGCAAGATTATTTGTGTTTGACTCATGCCAATATCTAAAGTTGCCTGAATTTCGCGGTATGTCACATGTCGATCTTCCTCAATCAGCTTACGCACTGCTGTGCGTAAACTACAGTCACCCAAGAAAACGTTGATGCTTTAACGTTTTCTTGGGTGACTGCAGTTTTTGGACGACCTTGACGGGGATCATCACTGAGCTTGACACGTCCACGTTGAAATTCAGCAAACCAGCGATAAATTGTGGTTTTGGATGGGGCTTCATCACCAAATGCAGAAATCATCCGGTCAACACACTGTTTTTGTGTTAAACCACTTCGAAAGTCATAATAAATCATCGCTCTTGAATTTTCTCGAGTCAGTTCCATTTTCTCAACGACTAAACAAGTTTGACAAAACCTTGTGACAAGACCGAGAATCTTTTTTTTAAACAAAAGGTATTCGATTTTTAAAACCAAGGAGTTTTCAATTAAAAAGATTTTAATATGACAGGAACGATGGAAATATTCCATTCCCGATACTTTTAGTGCAGCCTAGGTAGCTTGTATCTGTTGCTAATATTTACAGAATGAATATCACTTATTTTTGCCATCCTTATGCTATAAAAAACTTTATATAAAAGCTAAAATCTTTATTGAAATACTGCGAATTAAATAAAGATGCAAACATTAAAAAAAGTTCTCTTAGATGCAGTAAAAAATAATATAAAAGAGTTTGTCTGTAAAAGGTGCGCGTTCGACGTCACAGGGACAATAAAATCAAATAGAAGTCTTCTGGCCTCTGCCTCCCTCAGGAGATGGGAGGTTCCGATCGATTCACGTTAAGTAGAATACGGTAAATGAGGATCAGCTGTAAAGAATGCTTCTGTTGCTGGTACTTTTGATTTGTTTTTTTTTTCACATTAGTCACACAATTTGAATATTATAAAAAAAGCAACAATACTATTATAATATTGTGAATTTTTACCAAATATTAACTTAGGGCGGTTATAAATCTAGCGTATAGTAGTAATGTAATCACCTAATATAATTTTCATCGCTCGATTTTTTTAATAATTCGGGAAAATTTTTTGAAACAATAAAGAATTTTTCGAGCTGCCCTAATTCGAGTAGGTCTCTACATGTACTAAAATATTCATAATTCATCAGAAATGCATGTTTCATAATGCTTTTTACTTCTTTTTTATAAAATAAGGGTAACGAACGAGCGTACAGACCTTACCTGTTAGTTTCTGTATATATTACTCTACTCTACGCCTGTTTGTAAGTGAATGTAGATAACTAAATATACCCTCGATTAAGAATCAAAATGCAGAATGTGTTGTAACTCCCCTCTTGTATATAGGGTATTATCTATGGTAACCACTAAGGACTAAGATAAAATGCCTCATTTATAAAACTAAAATATGGAAATAATTTAGGAAATACAAATGTGCACACCTCGAACGCTCATGTAATGTTTTCAATAATCAATTTTCCTTTATTAATTATCAAAATACGTATTTCGTTTAAAATTACAAAAATATTATTTCTGTTTAATTAACACGAGAGTTTTTCTACTGCTTGGTACCGGTGATTCGTATTTTACTATCGAAAAAAATTGTCAATTATTGATAAACGGGACGATTGACAATAGTGAAATTAAACAAAAGGCTTCCTAAGGATTAAAATATTATGATAATAAAAAAAAAAAAACAAGTGATAAGTTCATTTTTTCAAAAGATATCTTCTTCACATTCATACCGACCAACTGACGTCCAAGTGAAGTTATTTTCAATTATCTTTTTTTTTAAATAATAATCGAAATAAATAATCGTATAACTACATCAAAAGTATTAATTGAAATCTCCTCTTGCTATTGGCGTACTTTTTTATTATATAAATACAAGGCCGGTGGAAGTGATTTAAGTTGAGTGGAGCGCGATTTTTTTATTTGATATTTATTTTATTTTATAGAGCACTGGATCTCCCCTTCGAGTTCGATGTGTGCAATATTTATAAAAAAATTATGTTATTATCATGATAATTGCCGGTGATATTGCTATTATAGACCATGGAATCTGAACCGCAAATATAGACCAATACTATAACATATCAGTATAACATGCTGTGTAAGAAAACACTCCTACAGCTTAACAACAATGTCTTTTATACTCTATATCAAATCTCAAAGCAAATATAAACAAATAAATATTAAGTTAAAAGAGTTAAAGCTGCTGCCTATATATGTATGTTCCACTGCTGGGCACAGGCCTCCTCTTATTTCTGAGAGGGTTTTAGGAAAAGGAAGGGTCCACCGCGTTGCCCCAATGCGTGTTGGCGAACTTCACAAGTCTTCGAAGTATTTTTTTTTTAGATTTCTGTTATCCAGGTTTCTTCGCGATGTTTTCTTTTACTCGTTTTAAATCTATACTTAGCTCGTGGTAAATCTGCACTTAAAATTACAATTCACATTTTTATAAAGCCGTGGTAGCTCAGATGGTTAGCGCTCGCTGTAAATTTCACAGTGCGTGAACAACTCGGGTTCGATCCCCGCCGGTACCAATAAAATAAGTATTAATGTATAAACAAATACCTACAGCGGTTCAAAGTTTAAATTACAAAAAGTGTATCGCTTACCGAGTTATACAATAGAGCAGTCATGAAAGTCCACTTTGTAGACTATCGGGGGTCGAATGAAAGAGTATAGCTTTATCCTCCGAGCCGGGTGTTACGTGACCGTATACCCGGCACTCGATTCACTGCCCGGATAAAGTCGCGATCAATCATATCCGGCGGATTCGATGGTTCCAAGAATGCTTAAGTGAAATTCGTTTTCTATCTACGGGTTAAGGGTATTAATTTAAGTATTTTGCAATGAAATACTTTGTTTGGTTTATATTCGAAGCTTTTTTAATTTATTTATTGTTAACTGTAGAACAAATACGGAATG